TTTAAAGCTCTTATCTCCCATTCTTCAAAATGTAACAATGAAGTAAAAACATAATTTTGAAAAAAAATAAAAACCTTAATACTATCATCAATAAAAATAAGTTTTCATTTATTTTCTACTTATATATACGCAGTTTTGTCTGACCATTTATACATATTCAATTTTGTATTCTCCTTTATCCACCTTTAATTTTATGTTTTTAAATAATTCCAATATTCTCTATCTCCCTCTCATATTATGCCTTTAATGAGACGAAATGTTATTTCCTTGTATATTTTAGTATGATTTGAAAACAAAGTATCTTATGGGAATTCCTTAAAATTCACCATAAATTTTTCTTAAAAATATTTTTTCAATTACGAAACTACTGTAGAAATTTGGAAAATACAGAAAAGTATAAAAAGCAAAGTAACTACTCATAAGTCCACTGCAAAGACAATTACTATTAATATTCTTAAATGCTTTTATTTTTTCCTTTGATTTTAAGTATAACAATTTTGTATATACATTGCACCACACTTTACTTAGCCATGCTTTCACTGTTGAAAGTTGGATTGATTCTAGGCTTTTGCTATCATAAAAAAACCTAATAAAGACCTCTGAATACCTATAAGTCTTTAATACAAATTTCTGACAATTTCCTTAAGAGACTTTTTAAAGGGAAAATACTGGCATGGTTTCTGTCTTCTGATTGACATAGTGGGTTAAATATACTTAACTTTTAAAGGATTGATACAAATTGCAAAACTCTTTCTAAAAAGGGACATCAATTTACACTAACAAACTCTGCATGCCCATTTCATCAAAACCTTGTTATTATTTTTCACAAGTATTTGTTAATATAGTAAAAAATGGCAGCTCAATGTTGTCCTAATTTACATGTCTTAAATACAGTAATATTAAATATTTTTAATGTTTATTAGATACTTCCATTTCTTCTATATTTGTCTATAAATGTATTTTCCTCACTTTCCTGGGGTTTTAGTGTTTTTCTTTGTTTTTATAAATGCTTTATATCTATGAAAATGAATGCTTAACTCATAAAAAGACTATACCATGGCTTTCTGAGAGTCTCAAAGTATAATTATTACTATCATCCACCATTTATCTGACAGTTTATATATAAAAATAAATTAATAAATTTTAGCTATCTAGTATAACTTAGTACTCTCTTTCAAAGAGATCAAGGAATTTTGTATCTTTATCTAAAAGCAATAATTCTTAGGTTATATGGATCATACCTCTTCAGGAATATGTACTACATTGCAAAATGGGATCTCAGAAAAATATTATTGTCTAGAAATAAGCATATGAACTGCCAAAATTAAAAGGAAAATCCATTATGTTCTCTGAAATAAGCATTTATCATGGAGAAATATCTAAAAGGAAGTTCCATGCAACTTCCTTTGACTTTGACTTGTCATGCAACATCTAACTAATCACAAACCACCTTATAACACTTGTGAAAATTAGTTATATGTATTTTTGAGAATTGTATACATCAGAGATCAGCAAGTTAAAGCCAAATCCAGCTGCCTCCCTTTTTGTAAAGTTTATTAGAACACATTAGTCATGTTCATTCATTTACATATTCTCTACTGGCTTTCACACTATGAGAGCAAAGTTGAGTAGCTGGTCTACAAACCCTCAAACATGTACTACTTGGCTCTTTACAATATAGTAAAATAAATATTTTAATCATTCTTGAAAGCCAGCACAGATATCCATATCCTGACTGACGGAGCTCATACAAGAATTGCATGCAAATAACTTATAATCCAAAGTATAAAAAGCTAAGTGCTCCAAGAAAGGTAAAGAGCGTCATAAAAAGAGTTTGTTTCCAGTAGGGGAAATCTTAAAAGCAGCAGCTTCTGCAATGGATTTTGAAGGATGGCTATAATTTTGACATAAGATGGGAAGACTTCCAGTGTGAAGAAAAGCAGACTTGTGAAAAACAACAAACATGACAGTGTACTTCGCATGGAGGAACAATAGTTAGGAGAAAATGCTAATAACCATTTGAAACCAAAATATAGGAAAGGCTTTTAGTATCAGGATCAGCAGTGTAGATTTAAATACAATTAGGTTCAAGAACAAGAGAATAACAGTGATTCAAACTGAATTTGAGGAGAGACAGGTAATAAGGAAACTAGTTACAAAGCTAAAATAATCCAAGAGAGAAGTAATGAAGGTGGTGGCAATGGGACTGGGAAAAAATAAGATAAACACATTACCATCATAGCAAAAACACTCAAACTCTTATGATTAGACAGTAGCATTTGGACATACTATGACCCTCTTAACTCATATGGGGCAAAAACTCTTCATCTCTCTTGCCTCTGAACCAAATAATGATTATTCCTAATTAGTTCTAATAACTTTAAAAAGAACATTTAAATAATAATTTAAGATACTAGATTATCACTATCCCATTTTTAAACCAACTCTGGGTACAAGTACATATTAAAATAGAATTCATTTGCTAGGGCCCTTCTGCTGGACCACTGAAAGGAAAAGTCTGATCTTAAATTTGGGCTCTTGACTGCTTCTGCTGAATTGCTGAAAACAACAGATGGATTTGCTTCAAAGCAGCTCCCTCCATGCATACCAAATGCCCTCCTCAAGAGGGGAACCTTAAATATAATAAAAAATGTAAACCAAAATATTTTTCTCTATATTTTCTAAAGTATCAATAATTTTATAGAGATTTTACAGTCAAACTTCACATATATTTAAATAATATACTCAACCAAAAAATTTACTTATTAGTATGAGGATAAGCTGGAATTCACTAAACTGATTTCTTTTTTTTTATAGGTAAGAAAATTATGCTAAAGAAGAGTTTTATATTCCGTTCATTAAAAACTAAGCTGCAGCTCCCTTATCAGCGGGTTCTGGTTGGGCTCCACTAAAAGACGACAAAAGAATGTATACTGGAGGGTAGGAGAAAGGGAAAAGACAAGGAATTTCTCCCTGCTTTTCTAAGACTGAATCTCCCTAGTGGCTTCAACTCCTTCCGAAAATGTCCAGTTCCCAGAAGGTAACCCCAGCCCCAGCCTCTAGGACCCATCTTCTACCTGTACTCCTCCATTTATCACTATTTGCTTCTTATTACTGCTAATCTCTGAACTGCATCACTATCTTTGTTTGGCTTCTCAAGTATTCTATCACCTATGTAACCAATTTTCTCTATTAAAGTCTCTCTACATAAAAAAAAATGAGGATTGAGGAAGGGAAAGGAAAACAAAATGGCCTAGACCTATCTTTTCTGACTCTAATGTACCCACTGTTCAGCCATCACCAGTCTCATTTCACAATGGAAAAGAAACAGCAATAACATAAGTAAACTTTCTAGATCACTTGTATAAACTCATTCTTCTCAAACTGAAGTATATGTTGCTTTGTATTATTACATGGTGTGCCAAGACGATTTATGTGAACCTACAGAATAAGCATGCTATATTTTTCTGTTGTCTCCATGGATAAATGATTTAAAAAATTATTTGTACATTAAAATAAACCACAAGGGTGCTATCAATTCAATGGAAGAATATTCTTCAACAAATGGTGTTGGGACAAATGAATATCCACATGCAAAGAATGAAGTTGGACCCTCTACTTCATACCATATAAAAAAAAATTTAACTCAAAATGGATCACAGACCTAAATTTAAGAGCTTAACTACAAAATTCTTAGAAAACTTCGGCATAAATCTTTGTGACCTTGGATTAAGCAATGGTTTCTTAGGTATGACAGCAAAGCAGGAAGAAATCTGAGGAAAAAAAATGGACTTCCTCAAAACTGAACTTTTGTGCTTCAAAGGACATTATCAAGAAAGTGAAGACACAATCTACAGAATGGAAGAAAATATCTCTTCCATTCTGATTATCTCTAATAAGGGACTTGTATCTAGAATATGTAAAGAAATCTTACAACTCACAACATGACAACCAAATAAAAAATAGGCAAATGATATAAAGACATTTCTCCAAAGATGACATACACAGATGGCCAACATCATTGGCCATTAGGAAAATACAATCAAAACCACAATGAGATAATTGTCAGGGGCAGAATGTGGGGAAGTAGAATGAATGCAAAGGAATATTAAAGAACTTTCAGGGTAGAGGGGAATGTTATATATCTTGACCGGGGCATTTATATTGTCAAAAGTCTTCAACCTGTACACTTAAAATCCTTTAGTCTTATTATATGTAAATTATACCTCCATTTTTAAAAAAGGTGAGCCATCTAGAATCAATTTCTTCAACAGAAGGAAAGCAAGAAGCAAAGTATCAAATATGTTCAATTACCTACCTATGCTTTACATAATTAGTAAAAACTGAAAGAGAAGCTATTTTTCAGCCAAAGTAAAAGAAATACCAGACTGATACAAAAGTTCTTTTAGAAATACAGAATATGACTGAAGTAAGAGATAAGCACACATTTGGTTTTGTTTCTGCTATAAACTGTGGGTTTCACAGGAAAACACTGTTTTGGCTGCTAAAACACACAATGTTCATATTAGATGTTATTACTGCAGTACTATCTATAGTAACTTTACATACTACCGTAATTATAACACCTAGCAATTACACTTAGAAGACACCGATCAACCATAAAAGTACTCTCATAAAAAACTACTTTGCTAATAAAAATTTCTAGGAAATTGGTGACATCTTAATAGCTTATTTTCAGGGAACTTTACACCAAAAATTTTGTTACATCAGTATTAGCTGTCTAAAATGACCACGTAATTCTTTAAAAACAACTAAAGTTCGTAGCTTTCAGGAAAAAACAATCAGACTGTCCATATATCACTTACAAAGGAAAAAAATAATCAGCGGAGCTTCTTTCTTTAAATATTCCCTTTGATAACTCTGTAAATGATAACATACTTCAAATACACTGTATTGACAAATAACTAAAGCAACAACATAAAATTCAATTTTAAAAATATGTATTTCCAACAATTCGGTAGAAAAACAGGTTCCCTTACCTCGTCATCATCATCGGAATCATTCCCAAACACTGATGGTTTCTGCAAAACAGGGAGCAACTGCTGTGCTTTCTTTGGCAAAATAAGCCCATACCTGCATTTGTTTTGAAATAAAAATTACACCATTATACTTAAATGTTTAAAAATAATTCATCTACTACTTCTTCCAGATGAAGCTACCAATTCAAAATGTCATACAGCCTATGAATATATAACACTGTTTCTGATTTTCAATCATCGCACAACTCTAAATGTGTTAAGATTTTATAATTACTCTAAGTAATTATTTGTGGACAGGGGCCAAATTCAAATACCATTTTAACCAAAGAAGAGAAATAATTGAAGAGTTCAGAAATGTTTTAGATGGTGAAATGATAGTAAGGTTTTAAAAAGAACATGTTAGTGGAAAGCTCAGTTCATGTCCATTACAAATTAAAAAAACTCTAAATTACCCTTGTGGTCTAACAAGAGTCAAGAAAATAGATTTTTTTTCCTACTGGGTACTTACACAGTTTTAAATAAGTTATTGGGTAATATCATCCACAAAATTTTTTTTAAAGATTACATTAACTGAGAAACCCAAGTATTCATAGGGTAAATTTCCATAACACTTTAGTAGGCTCACTTGCTTTGTCTTGAAGCGTCTGAGAGAACATCCCATCAGAGCCAACTCATTTAACTTCTCACATTTTGGCCTTTAAGATGCAGCAATCTCAGGAAGCCACATCAAAAGGATTATACAGCAATGGTAAAACTTCCAAGAACATATAATGTTTCTTTTGCGGCAACGTAAACCCCAATTCCCTATATGCCTACCCTTTTCTGTGGCTTCTCAGCACATTCCTAAAACGAGAAGGGAGGGCGGGAATCGGGACTTGAGCTGCCAAGGAGAAAAAGGCCCGCTAAGGAAGCCAAGAATTGTCTCTTCTCATTGCCCTTGAAGGCATCCAAACGGGGAGAGAAACTCAAGCGCGGGGTAGGAAGCAAGACTGAGGGGCCTCAGACCGAGCTTTTGGAAAATAGAAAAGTCTCGCTCTCTGCCCCTCAGCCTAACTTCCTTTATTTCCTCACAAGTTTCTCCCTCAAACTTCGGACATCCATCCTGGAAAATGTGAGGGGGGAGGGGAATATGTGTTCCTCGGGATTTCTCGCTTTTCCCCGTCTCTATCCCTGACGACACAGCCCCTTCACTTCCAGCGCATTTTTACTCCTCAGCCAAAGACAGTCGCCGTTGTTTCTCATTCCCCAGCCTGACCCTAACTCCCGGATCACTCACTGCCTGCCCGGAATCGCCATCTTGCTCTCGTCTCCGCTGAACGTGGCCGTCGCCGACGTGACGCTGACGCAGACGATGACGTAGTCACGTAAACTCTCGCGCGGCTTTGGGAGTCTTGGAACCACCCTAGCGGCTGGATCCCTCTTTTGAATTGATTTCACACAGTTAGGATCTCGGTCCTTTGGCTTTCGATTTCGTTTGGAAACCCTGGGGCCTCGAAATTAGTAAGAACAAAAGAGTGACAAAATTCTAAGCCAGTAGTCCACAAGGTGTGGTCCCGGGACCAGCAGGAACTATCATCCGGAATTTGTTAAAAATGCAAAATTTCGGGCCTTATCCCAGATCTATTGAGTCAGGAATTGGGTTGGGGCCCAGAAATCAGTATTTCAATGAGCCTTCCAGGTGATTTTGATACGTTTGAAAACCGCTACCCTAGGCTATCGATCTTTTTTTTTTTTAACCTCCGAAGTGTTCAATCTGAGTATACCTGGCTCAGGGTAATTTGATGAAAATTTCAAAAGATGAAAATCTTATATGCTAGCAGTGTTTCATAGAGCCAAATGATTAATAATACCATGGCATCTCTGGGTATAGAAATCAAAATCATGTACCACACTCTTATTCTGGTCACAATCTGTGTACCTACTCACTCTTGGCCCATTCCAAACTAGTTTTATAGCAGCCCAAGAACTCTTAACTACAGTAGGATGTTTAAATCTTGACCTCTTATTGTGGGTTTGTCTATTTCTTCTTTGAATTCTGTCAGTTTTTGCTTCATGTAGTTCTGTTGTTAAGTAAATAAACATTTAGGATTGCTATGTCCTCTTGCATTGAGCCCTATACCATAAGGAAATGACCCCTTTTTTTTCTGTATAAAATCTTCATATTTATTCCATAAAAATGGTACCCCTCTCCTATCATCGGAAGTTTATTCTCAAGTAAAAAAAAAACAAAACAAAAAAAACAGGATTGCAATGCCATCATCTTGAATTCATGACTTCCCTTCAAATGTGATTAATAAAGAAACACAATGCTACTAATGATTTGTCCAGATGCCAAAATAATGTCTAACATGTTCTCCAAACACTCTTCTGTAAAATAATTCTTTCTCTGGAATTGAAGAAATGACTCTATTTTTCTTAGCTACTTTATCTGCTATTAACATAACCAGCTTTGATTGTTAGCATACTATATGTGTCCTCTTACTGTGATAGCCTGCTGAAATGTGAAAGGGTTAAAGGATAATTAAAACCTGAAACTGGACAAAGGATGTCTATACCTTAGGCCTAGTTTCTGGAACCCCTAACTACATTCTGTTAATCATAAAACTTGTAACAATGAGCTCATACGCTAACTGCCAATTTTAGCCTGTGTAACCCTGCTTGCTTGCGTGGCATGAAAAATAATCAATTGTATATAAGCTGAAAATTACTGTTTGGCCATCGCCCACGAGAATACTGGCTATTGCCCATGGGAACATAGGCAATCACCCATAGGAACATAACATTCTAACAACAAGCTTTCTGCTTCTGTACTCCCCGCTTGCACACCTGACCAGTGGGTTGACAGGTAGTGAATAGGAGAGAAATAGACCTTTGTGTTTAAAATAGAATGAAGAATGGTATTTAGGGCTTAAAAACCTTGTATCTTGGCATTTCAGGGCTGCTTCTTCATACAGGACAGCCACCGGCTAATAAACAGACTTTGAGAGCATACTTGGTTTGGTCTATTCTATACAGGCCACAACATTACTTTTAACCTATATTAATCTATTTGTGTCTATATTCAAAGTGCACCTCTTGTTGATAGCATGCAGTTGGGTCTTGCTTTCTTATCCAGTCTGTCAATTGTTTCCTTTTAATTCGGGTGTTTGGAACACTTTTCGTTAAAGTGATTATTAGTATTGTCAGCGTAAGAAACATCCAAACGCATAGAAAATTTTTATGAGTTTATTTCAGCCAAAATGACAATGGCTAGGAAGCAAAATCTCAACGGATTGAGAAAATGCTCCAGAGAATGGCAGTTTTGTAGTTTATTTAATACATTAGAATAAAAGGAGGAGACAAGAGTCACGTGAAATCCATTGGTGGTAGATTAAGGGGGCAGGAGAAAGCAAAATGGGAACGAGATCTCTGAGATTGGATAAAAAGTAAAATGGAGAGCTACATACTTTTACATTGATGTGTTGTTAATAATGTTTACAGCACACAGAGATGGTATGTGGGAAACAACAAGGAGGGGTTTGCTCTGGTTGTGCCCTTAAGTGTCTAGAAAGCAGATTACTTTGACATTTCAAAGGTATGTTATCTTAGATGCAAAAAGACAATAGGCTCACTTAAGGTAAAGATTAACCTTTGTCAAGGAAGCTACAGGCCTAGGACATAACTACCCTCCATAACTCATTTTTAGTTAGGAATTTTTATGTTCAGACCATCTTGTATGGTTACTTTAGGTTTCTGAGTTTGTAAAGCCTGCCATGCAGGCCTCCCCTGAGCTTGGCAAGTTTAATTTGTGGCCCCTTTTTTCATCCACAGTATGGTTGCAAATTGTTTTCTATTTTCCCCATCTACTCTCCTCCCAAACGCGTTTTTTGGCACTCTTCTGGATTATTTTTTATGATTCAGTTTAAAATTTTTATGATTTAACCTCATTATTGGCTTCTTAGCTACACTTCTTAGCTTACTATTTTAAGGTGTTGCTTTAGGGATTCCTGTACATATCTTTGACTTATCACAGTCTACATTCAAGTAAGAGTATACCACTTTATATATAGTATAAAAACACAAAAGTATACAATACTTCCATTTTCCCTCTTTTAGACTTTGTGCTATTGTTGTCACTCATTTACTTCTACCTATGTTATAAATACACAGTAAATTATTTTTGCTTTAAATAATTATATTTCAAGAATATTTTAAATAAAAATATTGTTTACCCACATATTTACCTTTTCCAGTGTCTCCATATTTTTGTGTAGATCCAGATTTCTATCTAGTATAATCATCTTTTTAAAACTCTTATTAAGATGTAATTCACATACCACGTAACTCACTCATTTAAAGTGTACAATGCATCGGTTTTGAGTATATTCAGAGAGTTGTACTACCATCACCAGAATCAATTTTAGAATATTTTCAATATCCACCCCAAACCGTGTACCCATTGGGCACTTCTATTTTCTCCTAACCCTTCCACCCCCAAACCAAGCAACCAGTAATCTACTTCTGTCTCTATGGACTTGGAATTCTATCAGTTTTTGCTCCACATATTTTGAAACTCAACATTAGGTGTATAGAGATTTGAGATTATTATGTCTTAATTAATTGACCCCTTTTTCATTATGAAATGACCTTCTTTATCATGGTACTATTCTTTGCTCTGAAATCTACTTCTTGTGATGTTGTTATAGTCACTTCAGCCACTCCAAATATTTTGACAGTAACTCTAGAGAAAGCAAAAAGATGTTCAGAAAGGAAAATAATTATAATTTACTACATGAGTAAGCCCTAGATAGCATACATATCCATCATAATGCAAACAGTGAATATTGATCTAATCTAAATTACAGTGTAATTATATTGGGAAGAATAGAGGGATAGGAAATGTATATGTGTTTGTGTGTGTGTGTGTGTGTGTGGACACACATGCTGAAATAGGAGTTTTGTGGGTCATAGGTCTCTGTGGCAGCTACTAAGTTCTGCCCTTGTAGTGTGAAAGTAGTCATAGACAATATGGGCATGGCTTTTCCAATAAAACTTTATCGTAACAGGCAACTGGCCAGATTTAGCCTGTGGGATGTTGATTAACTCCTGAGCTAAAAGAATTGAAAGTAGTTGACTTAGAAGCAAGGGAAATAGGGGTGAGGTGGGACTGGGAAATGCTCTGGTCTTAACAGACCTTGTACAACAGGTGACTCTTTATGAGCACGTGTTACTTTGTTTAAAATAAAGAATCAATAAAAGGTAAAAATAAAGGCCCCTGCCAGAGCTGTCTGCCTCTTGCCTAAAGAGACTGGGGAATTAGTTACACAAAGTTATAGCTCGATACCCTATATAAATGCAAGTTTTTAAATTGGCATATTGAACTGTAGTCTCCCACTGCCCTTGTGAGATTTTCCAAAAGTTAGAAGGCTGATTTCTCAGATGAAGTGTTGCAGAGTTCAAGTTCTTCGATCTCTTGGCAGGGTCTGCAGAAATGGTTGTATCTACAGTAGTGAATCAGAAACACAGGGAAGGCTTCTAACATTTTGAACCCAAGTTTGGGAACATTGCTCCTATTGCTATTTATAGTTTGATTTGTCCATGGTTTGGGTACTTTTATATTAGGCCTTTTCACAAATTGGTCTCCCTTTGACCCCAATTTAAGCAGCTGGGGCTGGAGAGTCAGGGTCACATGGAACAAAATATAGCCACCTAGAGGTGCCTCACTAGTTGCAAGACAGTCTGAGCTCAGCCAATAGATTGAGGACAGGTAAAATATGGTTAATGACTAGGCATTGGAACACCCACTAAGGGTAATTATCATCCCTAAAGACAAAGAAATAGGCAATATTTAATTGATCTTGTCTGTTGAGAGAGGTCCATATAAGATCATATAGGGGAGAGTTAATGATGATGTGGGGTGAGGTTAGGTGGAGGTAGCATTGCATAAAACCTTACATGAGCAGAATGAAAAGTCCCTAAATTACTTGCAAAGGGTCTTCTGAGTTAGTGGATTGGGAATGTCTGTGGAAGGTAAGGGCAGCTGGTTGTTTGATCATGTCACAAGAGACCACATATTGTATGATTCCATTTATATAAAATGTCCAGAATAGGCAAATCCATAGAGAAAGCAAGATTAGCTGTTGCCTAGGGCTGCGGTGGGGGAAAATCGGGAGTGACTGCTAATGGGTATGGGATTTCTTATGGTGGTGATAAAATGTTCTAACATTGATTGTTGTAATGGTTGCACAATTCTGTGAATATTCTAAAAACCACTAAATTATACACATTAAGTAGGTGAATTGTATAGTATGTGAGTTATATATTTCATTAAAGCTGTTAAAAGAGCCAAAAGGAGCTTTTCTGAGATTCCAATATTGTTGTATTGAAACCTTATGTTGTTCTTGGACCATGGAAAGCTGTAATTATAAAGGGAAGTCTAGATGGTCTACACCATACGGTGTCATTGTTACCTAAAAGCTATGGAGAGTCAATAAAAAATTCAACTAATCAAGCCTAAGCTCCTGAAGTATATGTAAATATAAGTAAATAAATAAATCTATTGGGTCAAATAGATTTAAATATAAATCTATATCTAAATTTTTGTGAAGTATAAGTAATATCTCCTTCACTAAAAAAGTAAGCTCCTGGTATTAAGGGATAATATTTTATTTAAATGATGGTTAAATATATTCAACCAATCTTCCTTGTTGTTTGTTAAACTTTCAAGTAGTTTCCAAAAGACATAACAAGGTATTAACCTGGTAAAGGTTAGAAAGTTTTAGTGAGATGCATGGGGTGCTGGCATGGGCAGTAAACCAGAAACTAGGACACATAGGTGCTAGGTCCACCCTGCCTCTGACTAGCTGTTGTTATCTAGGTAACTCACTCACTCTTTGAGACTGTTTCCTCATATATAAAATGGGGATAATAATATTAAGACTGCTTACTTACAGGTTATTGGGAGCATCAAATGAGCTAGTATGTGAAAATATCTCAAACAAGTTAAAGCACCACACAAATGTGTTATATTTGTTATCATTAACCTAAATGCCATTTGGTTAACTTAACTCCCATGATAGTGGTTAAAAATGAGCATTCTGCAAAAATTTCCCCTCCTTGCTGCCTAAAATGCCATTTGTATTCACAGTGAACTCTTTAGAAGCTTGTTCTGAACCTATCAGGATATGTGGATATCAGTTTAATATCTTCAAGAACATTATTCCTAGAAATGTTGCTGCAAATGCCCTGAAACAGGCCTATAGGTTAAAGCTGGGCATACGATCATCCAAGAGATGAGGACTGGTAATAACACTGCCATCTTATCAGAAAAGGTTAAAAAGGGACCTCCAACCTCAAATTATAAGATGCTTGGAACACATCACATTTTGCCAACCAAATAAAGAAAATGTAGTTTAATTTCCCAAAATTTTTATTAAAAATGAACTGTATCATCAGATGTTTTATTTCAAAGATGAGATCTCACAACAGCAGTAAAGTTTGCTCCAATAACAAGCTTTAAATAAATGTAAATTCTTTTTTGCAGTTCTTGAACTCGAGTGGTTTTTATTATAAAGACAGGTGTTTTCTTTTTTCCATGAGTCACGGACAAACATTTTCCCACAAAATTTCTATTCATTGAGATAACTTTTAAGTTGTTAAGGTAAGTGACGGGGGTAGGGAAATAAAAAGAGAGAAGAGGTGCTGCTCATACAAGTCTTTGAAAAATTAGAAAAACAATTCTCAGTCTATTTCTTAAAATCTTTATTATTTGGTACTTTTTTGATGTAAAAACTGCTATTTTCCCCCTAAATCTTTAGTCTTTACTTTGTACCTTAAAAGATTAAAATAACTCTACCCAATTAACCATAGTAGTCACATGGTAGATACAAAGGTAAAACTAAAAGGAAATTTTAAAATATATTCTATAACATACATTTGGTTATGGCTACCACAACTGGATATCTTTTAAATCAAATTTCTCCTTAGGTAGCACTTTTGGTTTTCGAAAGTGCTGAGGTCAGTGTCCAGGAGATAAATATGTCTATGTGTCACTCCTTTCCAATTGAAAATATTTTATAGTTAAGAATACCGAACATGACAAAAACATCCTAAATACAGTACCAATTCTATTAGCATTTATCGAGCAAGCTTCTACCTGGCATTTTTGCATACACACAGGAGTCAGTCTTGGAGGGCAATGGGGGTGTAATAGCACTATTTAGTTTTTTGTTTAACTGCATGAGAGCTAAACAGATGTGTGACCAGTGGTATAGGTACTCGATGACAATGTTACCAAATTTCCATACTTCGATTCGAGAATGACCTGCACCAAGACAAAAAAAGTTAGTGTGGATACTTTTGATCTCTTATTATTAAAATTTAAGTTCCAGTATTATGACGAAAGTTCATTAGTTATGTTTTGAGTCAAAAGGATGGCAGAATCTTGTTTAAATATGTAATTATAGGAAAATGGATAAATTTTGGTATATTCATCTAATGGACTACTATACAGCATTTAACAAAACTACAGCTACCTATATCATGTGGATAAATCTCAAAGACATTGAGCACAAAAAATTATAGAGTAATATATTCTTTGGGTACAATTAAAAAACAGTTTTAAAACTTGTAAAATAATATTATATTGTTTATGGACTCATAACCATGTAGTAAAAGAAATCATTCATGAAACTGATAAACACCAAATTCATAGAAGCATTATCTCTAGGAAGGAAGAAAAGAGAATAGGATCAGGGAGGGGTAGAAAGTTTGAACTGTTCCTAAAATATTTTATTTCTTTAAAAAAGTCTGACTCAAACATGCATAATGCAAAGGTCGGATATAGAATGTGGCTCCATAATGACTACACAGGTGTTAGTCTCTAACTTTATGTTTGGAATATTTCCTAATTTAAAATCATTTTTAAATATATAATCACTGCACGCCATTATGTTTCATTTGTAAACTATTGAACTGCCGTTTATAAAAGTTACACTTTCCCAGGAGTCAATGACTATTTTCAGATAGAATGGTCCGGTGGAAAGAGAATATACTTCTGGAGTTGAACAGATCTGGGTTCCGATCTTGACTCTACCCCAACTAGTTTTCTGACCTTGAGCAGGTCACTTAATTGCTCTGAGCCTGTTTCTTCTTCCATAAAACAGAGATAATACTGCAGATTTGTTATGAGGATTAATGAGAAAAGATATGCAAAAATCTGTCACAGAGTAGCTACTCAAAAAATTAATTACTGTCCTTCTTTCAAGTATCTCCCACCCTCAGGTCTATGTTTTATTCAATTTTGTTAATTCTAGTGTCTAACACAGTACCTAACCCAATAAATGTTTGCTGATTTGAGTTGAATAAACCATAAATGATACTTATAATTGAATAAGAGGAATTAAATGTCATCTTCTATCCATAACTCATTAATAACAATGACAATCATTTATGGGTATCTATTAGAATGACAAAACAGAACATATCTTATTTCTCTATCTTCTATCAACATGAGGGAACAGGTTCCCTGAATTAGATTTAGCTTTGTATGGTTTTGAAGATATCACTATGATAAAAGGTACAATACGGGATAGGAAAAGCACATAAAATGTGGAAAATACAAATCTCAATTCTTCAGGCCTACTTTAAAACATGCGGACACAATGGTCTAAAATTCTTTTGAGCGTGTGCATGCGCGCACACACACAGGCACTCTTTTTTTCTAATTGTAAGTGTTCAATAAACATTGAAATATTAAATTATGTCATAAATTAGGTTTTTCAAATGCTAAAAGTTCAGATTATAGCTCAGTAATATTAGTAACAATTATAAATAAAAGCAAAAGCAAATGCTGGTCATGAGAGTATATTAAAAACACCTGATTTATTTTATGTTATGGGCAATACTAGACCAATCAACATATATACTTAAAATATTGAGATGCTTTTGTTATAATTGATCTCTTTTGTATTTATTAGCTTCCTGGTACCTTTACAAGGTAATGTTATAGGCTGCAAAGATTACTCTGATTATCTTAATGTTCGATGTCATGAATCTAAATTAAAGTGCACCCTAGAATACTCCTAAAACCAGTTCTGATTTTCTGAGATATAACAGCTCTGCTACGCCCCACAGTTTTTATTCTGCCCTTCCTAAATCCCCATTAAGAGCTCTGTTCCACTGACGCCTGCCACAGTGTTCTTATCTGACATCCAAATGAACAGACCCCTATCTGCAACCATTATTAAGCTAGTCAGCCATCTCCATGGTGATTCAAGGACACAAGGATGAGTGAGGTCGCTCCCTTTAACAAGCTCCTGTTGCTTATTTCCTGTCTTATTGTTACCAGGGACATAAGCTCCGAACCTGTCTGGGCCATCGTTCCTGTTTTCGTGCCCTTTCCTATGAGAGATGGATGCGTTAAACAACTGGCTCTAATGATTCCTCTAATGAAGCCTCCTTTGCTATTGGGTTCCCATTGACAATGGTTGAGCGCTACTGTCCTCTTGTGGTGGATAGGTGCCAGTTCTCTGCAGCTTGGTGGACGACAAAGCCCTCTGGCATAGATTTTGTAATTCTTTCAAACAGATACACTATAATTTTTTTCTTTTCTAACCATAAGAAATAGTGCTTTTTTGCTTTGCCCTGGTAAGGATTATAGTAAATTATCTGAATACATCTGAGCTAAAATAATTGCTGAGTCAACTTTTGAATCTGTTTATAAACCTATTACTTTAGAAATATTTTATGGTATTTTTGTAGGTTCCAGTTTAATCAAACTTTTAATTACATAGGGAATTCATTTTGCTGAAAACATTGGGACTATAGGATATTTCTAATTAAAACTCCATTCTGGATCTCTGCTTTAACACTGGGTTAATTTAAATCCTTTAGGAATTATAGACAATTAGAAAGATGAGCAAAGCAAAAAAGAATGAAGTGCTTAAGCTTTAAGTTCAAAAGTAAAGTGTAACTGCTCCTTTCAACTAACAACTAACCCAAGATCAGCAGTATTTCCTGAAAGTTCCTCTCTTTATCATTAGTTCTCTTAGTTTTAGTTCTTTTATTTCTATTGTTTCACATACCCTCTGTCATCCCTTAATATTACTGCCACATGCAATGAGCTGAAGTTCTATGCAACATTATATACTTAAACGGGTATGTATGTGCAAATTTCAGTTTTTATGTGGGCAGGAGAACTCATATTTGCCATGGTAGTTGAACATTTAATATGTCACTGTTAATTTAATGTGGTCCCAAATGTGGAGAGTTCAGCTTCCAGCTTATCAGGAAAGAATCAACATTAAATGAGAAGGTAAAAATACATTTTTTCTCGAGTTATCAAAGCTTGGATGGAAGTTTGCTTCAGGCTGAACATTGAGTTCTTGCAAGTATATTAGTTTCATTCCTATTGTAATCATAATTTCTATATAATATCACACTTATTGGCTTTTTAAAATGATGTAGCTATAAATCAAATTATGTATGAATTTTATTCAATGCAATTTATCCTTACGAAAATTCATACCTTTATGCAGTGGCCTCTAAGTCCTTTGATCATGTACCTCTATCACTAATAAATGTTGAGCATGGTCTCCATATATGTATGTTTATTTATAAATTATTTTAAAACATTTTCTAAAAAATAGATATTAGACATTGATGGGAAAAATTATTACAAATAAAAGTCTCACAATATTTTTCTTGTATTCTGATGGTATAAGAGTACCGGTTATTTGTGCCTTTTGTTTGCTCCTGTTTGTTTGGAGCTTAGTGGGGGAAACCCATATACAGGTGTCTCAATATTCAATAGACACACTGATACTCCCCATTTTCACTCTGTTACTCTCCTTCTCAACTGTGTATGATATCGCCCAGCCTAGAGATGTTCTATGTTACCTTCTCCAAGGAATAAATTTCTAGGATTGGGAGCTGAAGTTGCCCAGTGGTGTGAGGTAGAGAAGATGAGATACAGAGACCAAAACACTAAAACAGAGAGAATGAGGAGAAACCACAGGGAGAAGAAAACTTCAAAAAATAATTATCATTAATACCCTCAGAGAGATAAGATGTTGAATCCCTGAAACATAACAAGATGTTGCAGAAAGCAAATATTTAAAGAATAACAACAATAAATCTATCAGACATTAAAATATGCAGAAACAAAAATTCAATAGAATTAGAAGGTTGATAGAATGTCTCAGAAAGTGAAACAAAAAGATAAAAAGATGGAAAATCAGAAAATATAGATTTTGGAGATTGAATATAGGAGATCCAATATCTAAATAATAGGAGTTCCAAAAAGAGAACACAGTAAAGAAATGCCAGGGCAACCATCAACCTCCAGGTCACTTCTGTGTAAATGACAACAAAGCATCTATCATGGATGAATGCACTCTGTGAGCACACAGTTTGGTGAGCAGAAAAAGATGTGTGAAGAAAGAGATGCCCCTTCTCCAGGTAGATGTAACCTTAATCTAAATAAAGTACACAATTTAGTGAATGAAATCCTGGTTAGATTTCAGCTCCCATCCACCTTCTCAGCAGGGCATCTTTGTGCAGTGCACAAATTAACACAGTCATAAGTAGCAACCTGAAGCCATGGAGGAAATCATTAAGGACTTAAGGACCCGAGTTTCACAGTTGAAAAGCCCCACTGAGTGTTCAAATCAATGGATGAAAATAGACCCATAAAGAGGCATATCATTATGAAATTTCACAATCTTGGGTATAAAGGACAGCTTCTGGAGAGAAAACAAAATAAAAAAAAGAAAGGATTCAGACTTCTCAGTAGCAATTTTGGCACTTCCCAAGTTTCTTCTGATAATGGAGCCATTTCTTCAAGAAGTTAAAGTTTCCATATGACCTAGTACTCCACTCCTAATTTTATGTCAATGAGAACTGAAAACATATGCTTACACAAAAACTTGTAAACAAATGTTCATAGCATCATTTATAATAACCAAAAAGTAGAAACAACCTATATATGTCCATCAGCAGATAAATGCATAAATAAAATGTGACATATACATACAATACACTACTATTCAGCCATAAAAAAGCAATGAAATACTAATCATCCTAAAACAGAGATAAACCTTGAAACATTATGCTAAGTGAAAGAAGCCAGATATAAAGTCCACCTATTGTATGATTCTGTTTATATGAAATGTCCAGAATAGGCAAATCTATAGAAACAGAAAGTAGATTAGTGGTTGCCAGTAGCTAGGTGGGGATGGGCAAGGGAGAGTGACTGCTAATGGGTACTGAGTTTCTTTTGGAGTGATGAAAATGTTCTAAAATTAGATAGTGGTGATGGTGGCA